ACATACACACATACATACATACATACATACATACATACATACATACACACATACATACATACATACATACACACATACACAATACATACATGCACACATACATATATACATACACACACACATACAGTTAAATAAATAAATATTTCCAAAAAATAAAAACCCAGGTTAAAGGACCAGGGAGATGGCTATGTGGTTAAACACACTTGCCACACAAGTCTGATGACCTGAGTTTGGCCCCTAGGACCCATACAAAAAGCCAGATGTGGCAGTGTGCATCTGTCTGTGGTGGAATCACCTTTTTGCACACTGTGAAGATGTGCTGCTCTTGTGGATTTACTAAAGAGCTGAATGGCCAACAGATAGGCAGGAAGAGGTTAGCCAGGACCTGCAGACAGGAGAGCGTGTCCCGGGGACATGAAGAAGGACCGAGACACCAGCCAGATGCAGAGGAAACGGGATGTGTACAAGATGAGGTAACAAGCCACGAGCCTTGTGGCAGCAGGCAATTTAATAGAAATGGGTGAATTTAAGTTATAAGAGCTGGTTAGAAACAAGGGGGCCTGGAGAGATGTCTCAGTGGTTAAGAGCACTGACTGCCCTTCCAAAGGTCCTGAGTTCAATTCCCAGCAACCACATGGTGACCCACAACCACCTGTAATGAGATCTGTTGCCCTCTTCTGGCCTGCAGGCAACATGCAGACAGTACACTGTACACATAATAAATAAATAAATAAATCTTTAAAAAAAAAGCCTAAGCTATTGAACAAGCATTTATAATTAATAATAAGTTTCTGTGTGGTTATTTGGGAGCTGGTTGGCAGGACAGAAAAATCCACTTACATGCATCTTTAATCCCTACAGAAACTGGGAGACCCATACTCAGAAAAAAACAAGAGAGACCCTGCCACAAAAGCAAGGTAGGAAGGTCAGTATCAACTCAAGAAAGCTGGTCTCTTCCTCTACATAGGGGCCATGCCATGCATTCATACATATAAACATTCAAACTAAACATAATTAAAATTCAAAATTACAAGATATATACATGTATGCAGTCGTCACAATGTACCTTGTTAATGTGTATAATTTTTATATTGGTTAAATAAACTTATATAATAAATAATAATTAGATGTAAAGATACATACCTGTAATCCCAGCCCTTAGTAGGAGGCTAGAATAAGGTGCTCAGTTAAGTTCAGGGCCAGCCTGGGCTACATAGAAACACTCTGCCTAGGAACAAACATAGAAAAGCTGTCCATTGCAATGACAGACTTATAGCTGGCCTTCCTTCTGGGCTGAGAGCTGTGTTTTCAAACTGGGTGTTAAACTAGGCCTGGGCCCCCCAAACTCCCCTCATCTGCCTAGAAAAAAAATCCTTCCTATTTGAAGAACTATGGTCTAGATGTTGTCATGTGTCCACTCAGGAAGTTTTATGGGTTCCCATGTGGCTTCTATCCTTCTGGAGACCAGAGCAAATTGCAGCTGTACCCCGAGAGAATCCACACTCAAAAGCCCAGACAGGGCAGCTCCTTCTTCTCCAGTCAGCTCAGCACAACTGGCGGCGCAGCAGGGCAGAGTTTCTGCCAAGTGCCCAGATGGAATGTCCTCAAGCTTTTGGTGTGCCAGTAAGCAGGATCCAAGTGCCTGGCTTCTTGTACATTGATGGCACAAAAGCTTGTGTACATTGTTCACTTAAGAAATGCCAGGCACAGCTGGGCGGTGGTGGCGAACAACTTTGATCCCAAAACTCGGGAGGCAGAGGCAGGCGGATTTCTGTGAGTTTGAGGCCAGCCTGGTCTGCAGAGTGAGTTCCAGGGCAGCCAGGGCTACACAGTGAAACCCTGTCACAAAAAACAAACAAACAAACAAAAAACCAAAAACAAACAAAACAAAAAAAAAAACAAAACACATAGCACAGGTCATTTGGAGTTCTCTGTAGGCTTTGATTATATCATCTTTTGCCCCTGCTAGCGATGGACGTGTAGTGAATGGATGCTGTGACACTGAGCCCTGGCCTTGTTAGACAAGGTCCTACTCTGTTGCCCAGGTTGGCTTTGAACTACTGGGCTCGAGGAGTCCTCCTGCTTCTGCTTCTCTAGTGGGTGAAACTATTCAGCCATCAGTTCGAAGGCTCCTTTCCTGACTTCAGTCTCCTGTCTTCCTTTACTTACCCATGCTTCGAAACCCTGGATGGAAGGAACGAAACAACCCCCTAAGTTGCCCTCTCGGCCTCACACTCATGTCATGGCATGTATCCTCCCACCCCAGGAAATAAATAAATAAAAAGTAAATAAATAAGAAATAAGTGTGGTATTACTCTGTAAGCCAGGCAGGCTTTGATCTCACAGTGTTCTTCTTGCCTCAGCCTCCAAAGTACTGTTATTTACAGGCTTGCCCCTCCCCCGTACCTGCTTTCACCTTTTTCTTTTATTTCTTTAAAAATGTATTTTATGGTGTGGCGTTGGTGGCGCACGCCTTTAGTCCCAGCACTCGGGAGGCAGGGGCAGGCAGATAGATCTCTGTGAGTTCAAGACCAGCCTGGTCTACAAGAGCTAGTTCCAGGACAGCCTCCAAAGCCACAAAGAAACCCTGTCTCAAAAAACAAAAACAAACAAACAAAAAAAAGGATTTTATGAAATTCTCTTGAAATCCAATAAGTCTGAATTTTTTCAGATTTAATTATTTTATCTTACGTGTATGAATGTTTTGCCTGCATGTATGTATGTGCTCTGTGTGTGTCTGGTGCCTGCAAAGGACAGAAGAGGGCAATTGGATCATATATGTAGCTGGTTGTGAGGGGCTGTGTGGGTGCTGGGAACCGAACCCACGTCTTCTGGAAAAGCAACGGGTGCTCTTAACCAGGCCTCACCGTTTGCTTTACAGACATGAATTAAGTCACTGACAGTCACAAGGATGATGCGGTAGGTAGGGGACTAACCCTTGGAGGAGAGAGGATGCCCCGGGACAGACACCAGCTGTGCACACTCTGGCAGTTTCTTCTAGGCTGCCCCAGGCTGTCTTGACTGCAGGAGGTCACCACGTTTCCACTTAGGCAGCTCACTGCGCCCCAGGCTGCAGAAATCCCGACTTTCTGCTTGCAGCACCGCAGCTGGCTGTTGGAGCTGGCGCAACGCGACGGGCGGGGCTTGGAAGTTTGTTTCCGAGTTCGGAGCCCAGGAGTCCCCGCGACCGTCGTGCAGGTGCCCTCCGCCGGGGTCGGGATGGAGCTGCCCGCCGTGAACTTGAAGGTGGCCGCGCGGCCGGGGCGGGCGGGGGTTCAGGGTCCTGGGGACCGGAGTCGGAGCAGAAGGGAAGGTGCAGAGCCCGAGGGAGGAGGCAGCGGACACCGGGAGGGACACCGGGACCGCCCGGGCGTGTGCTCCTCATGTCCCCAGCAGCAGGACAGGGACACCTCTCCTCCTGAGGTGTCTGACCCCGTCCAGTGCAGTCCCCCTGGGCCCCGCTGTGTGTCGGCACAGGTTAGGAGAAATCCCGTGTCCCCAGACAGTTGTTCTCCCAAATTTCCGCACGCAGCGACCTTATTTCATAATTAAGAAGCAGGAACTGCACAAGTTTCTCAAAAGCAAAAAGCCCCAAAGCCTGTGCGGGGCAGCCGATGGTGTCTTCATTTCCTGAGTTGTTTCTTTTTCTTTCTCAGCCCTCCTGGTTTGCAGCAGAGGGGCTGGCCTCTCAGGGACCTGGAACTAAACCGGCCATCTTAGGCCTTGAAACCCTTAGACTCCCAGGTGTCAACGCATTTAGCACCCTTTGGTGTCTGAGAACAAAGGGACCCAAGAGATAGGTGGCTTTGGAGCAGCGACGACGTAAGGCCACAGTGGGGTGACTACACATGGGCTAAGCTGTGACTTGCTCTGCCCGGTTTCCTATCTGGCTGGCCGCTGTAGGGAGACACGATCGGAGCAAAGGAATGGGCATGGGTGGACGCCTTAGCCGGGGAGAGCTTTACAGGTCGCTGTGGGACTTGTGGCTTTGGGTACTCACTGTTGGAGGCAGCCTGGAGGTCAGGCTGTGCCGCGTTCTGCTCACGCCTGCACTCACATAATTAAGAGGACTGCGTGAGTCCTGGTGGTAGAGCATTTGAGTAACCCACACCCGGCCTGGGCTTCATCCTAGCACCCCTCCCACCCCCCACATGCAATAATAATAATAATATAGGAACAGGTGAGAAAAGAACTGGCGCTCGCCTTTCATCCCAGCACTCTGGAGGCAGAGGCAGGTGGATCTCTGTGAGTTCGAGACCAGCCTGGTCTACAAGAGCTAGTTCCAGGACAGCCTCCAAAGCCACAGAGAAACCCTGTGTCGAAACAAAACAAAACAAAACAAAAAAAGAACTGGTGTTTGTGATAGGGCTGATATGTTTTATTCATTTGAGTTGGGGTCTCCTGTAGTAAAGGCTAGCCTACGTAGCTGAGGGTGACCTCCAATCCTGGAATGGCAGACCAGTTATGCAGTGCTGAGATGAAAACCAGGGCTTCTTGCCTGTAAGGAAATGCTAAGCCTGTGTTGCTTACTGATCTCAGTCATCCACTGACAAAGCTGAAACCGGACTCTGTCATTTTTTTTGTTTTGTTTTGAGTCAGCATCATCTAGCTCTGGCTGGCCTGGGACTCACGATGTAAAGAGGCTGTCTTTGAACTCACAGAGATCTGCTTGCTCTTGCCTCCTGAGTGCTGGGCTTAAAGGCCTGCACCACCATATCTAGCCAGAGAAGCCATAGTCTCTTAGAGAGATGCAAACTTCAGCTTAGATCATGCAAGTAAATTGCCATGGTCCCCCAAGAAATAAGTGGTGCAGACAGGATTTGAACCCCTGAAGATGACCCAGCTCTGGGGGCTTGACATTTCCTAGTGTCAGCTTACTTAGGACTAACATTGGTTTTGATGGCCTGTGTCAACTTTTTTATCCCGATATGCACAGAGCGTCCATCACAGGTGTGAGCTAGACGGGCTTGTGGGCCCAGGATGCAGAGACTGGTCCTTCTTTGATCTGACTGACAAGCCCTATGTCTCCATGGATCTTGGCTGGGTCCAGTCAGAAACAAGTGAACAGTAGCGGTTGTGAAATAGCACATAGGAAGAGCAAACAGTCACTTTTGGGTTTCACATCAACATCAACGACTGGGTTTTGATTGTGTGTCTCAGGGTTAGGGACATACTGAATTATTCATAATCTGAACTCCCCAATGAGCCTGGGTGTTTTGGTCATTTTGTCTGCAAGATCTGTACCCTATGGAGGACAGCTGGGACACCTTGGCTTTCAGCGTCACTCACTGTCTTTTAAAGGCATGCCTAGTATGCCCAGTTCAGCTGGAGTGGGCTAGGGGGGCAGGTGAAAAGAATCAGTTGCCCCAGCCTCTGTTAATGAAGTCTGTCCCGAGCTGGGTCCCACCCATGCTTCTCTCATGTCAGGTCGGACTGGACTTGTGAAGTCTTGGGAGGAGGAGGCTCTGTCTGGAGGAGCAGGGGAAATGACAATTGGCAATGAGGCCTGCTGTGTTGAGTCCTTCACATACCTCCATCCCCCCGTCCTCTAGAGCCAAGGAGTGGGGTGTGATGTATCCCTGCCGACTCCAAAGTCTGCCAGATGACCAGGACAGGGCCTGCCTCTGTCCTGGGTAGCCCTTGAATTCAGCTGTCCTAGGGGCATCTATCAGGCCACCAAGTGTATGCACAGGGCACACTAGGCTGTATGAAGCTGAGGTCTGGAAAGTCTCTATCCTCTCCTCCTCTGGGAGTTGTAAACAGGCTCATTTTGTTTTCTTGTGGTAGAGTACCACATGCCTGGTAAACTGTATGAAGCTGAGGTCTGGAAAGTCTCTATCCTCTCCTCCTCTGGGAGTTATAAACAGGCTCATTTTGTTTTCTTGTGGTAGAGTACCACATGCCTGGCAAACTCTCTCACTGAGCCACAGTCCACAGCCCCAAACAAAGGGTTAACCCTCATGGCCCCTGCACTAATGCTGACCCGCCCTTTCTAAGTCAAACTTCACTCTCCTCTGCCCTGCCTTTGCCTTGCAGATCCTGACAATGGACAGAGGAGCTTTGGGGCCAGGTTTTAAGGCCAGGAATTGACAATGTTATCTGTGTAACCTTGAGGAGGTTTCTTGACCTCTCTGGGTATCAGTTTGCTCACTGTAAAAAGGGATAGAATTGTGCCTTCTAGGGTGATGAGGGTATTAAAAACTCAGACCAGATGTCCTGAGCTGAGGTGGCAGCGGTGACTGCAGCATACATCTTTAATCTCATCACTTGGGAGGCAGAAACAAGCGGATCTCTGTGAGTTCAAGACTAGCCTGGTCTAACCGAGCACGTTCCAGGACAGCAAGCCAACCCTCTGTTGGGAAAACAAACAAAAAAAAAAAAAACAAAAAAAAAAAAAAAAAAAAAAAAAAAAAAACACCTCAGACCTGAAAACATTTGCAAGCCCCTGAAACAAAAACAGAAAAAAAACTCAGGGCAGGTGATCTTGATCTGAGTCGTCGTTTGGCTTTCTAATTGGACCTGGTGTGTTGGGTCTCTGCAGCATGAGTTCTGCTCCATTTGGCCTTGTAGACAAAGTGGGTAGTGGGTTCTGTGGAGTGTGCTCAAGGAGCAGGTGGGCTTTGACGGAGTTACTGGAGAGAGAGGATTCCACCCAGGAATAGGGACAGACAGCAGTCGGCAAGAACTGGCAAGGGCCAGCTTCCCCTGAAGACAAGGATCCCTTGGGGTAGATGCTCCCAGCTCTCTGTGTGATGGTGAACACACCAAAAGGAGTCTGTGTTCCCATCCATCACCCTGTGACCACTGCTGCCCTGGCTCGCTGGCCTTGCCTGGGGAAGAGCCAGGCAGCCTGCTGTGGCTAAGCTCTGTTGTGCAAGTCCCCAGCCCAGGCTCCTTTCCTGCTATGGCCTGGCCCTTCCCAGTTTCTCTGTGAGAAGTCTGGTCTCCTATTTCCCTGAATAAGAGCTAGCAGGGACAGTTCTGTGTTCACAGCAGGCCACTGGCCCCTCCCTTGTGCACTTCCAGGAAGGGCTGGGCCATTTGGTTCTGTTTCTTCTTGCAGCTTTCTTGGAAGTCACATCTCTGAGGGCTGCCCCACCCCCCACCCCCCCACCCCAAGATAGGGTTTCTTTGTGTAACAGCCGTAGCTGTCCTGGACTTACATTATAGTCCAGGCTGGCCTTGAACTCAGAGAGATCTATCCACCTGCCTCTTCCTCCTGGGTGTTGGGATTAGAGGTGTGTGCCATCATGCCCAGCTTGAGGCTTAGTCTCTTGATAGATTTCCTTTCCCATGGGTGTCCTGCACTATCAACTGTGGCCATATTCCTTTGAGACAGGTCTCTCACCAAATCTAGAGCTAGACTGACAGCCAACAAGCCCCTGTGAGCCACCTGTCTCTCACCCAACATGGAGCTCACTGATTTGGCTAGCATAGCTGGCCAGTGAGCCCAGGGGCGCTCCTGCAGGGTTCCTGCCTGTCCGCCTTGGTCCAGTGCACCGCCTTGTCCTCAGCCTAACTCTGCCAGCTGCACCAGCAAAGCTCCTGGCCTCCAGGAAGCCTCTGCCTGGGCCACGCCCTCCTCCCACTCCTACAGCTGGTCCTGGCTCCCTGCCATGGCCTGACTGATTAACTCCCTTACCCTCAGTGCTCAGCCCAGAAGCCTGTGGCCCGCTCTAACTGACCACAGTGCCCTGATCCCATGGCATCTGCCCCTCCTATCTTAGCTCTCCAGGGAGTGCCCTCTGAAGAGGCCAATCCAGGACTGTGATTTCAAGGATGCCAAACACAGAAATCCTGGCAGGCCAGAGGGATCTTGTCCTTATCATGAGTCACACTGTGATGTCTCCTGCAGAAAAGTCTAGAGCTCCCCTCAGTCATTAAACATGAAATCTGAGCCGCCAACCCACCAATGCTTTTGAACCCCTCCTCTCCCTCTCCCACCTCTCCCCTTCCTGTTTTTGGGTTTGTGTTTTGGAACAGGCTTAGGTTAGTCTTGAACTCATTATGTGGCTGAGGATGATGATCTTGAACTTCCCACCTTCCTGCCTCCACCTCCTAAGTGCTGAGATTACAGGCGTGCACAGCTGTGCCTGATTGGCAGAGGTTATACAGTGTGGGGATTGAACCCCCGGCTTCAAGTATGCTGGGCAAGCACTCGACTGCCTGAACTTTACCCTTCTCCCCTGCTCTTCTCTCCCAGCTACTGTGGCTGTCCAAGGGCTCCCCAGAGGAACCCCTAATCTTTGAAAACAGGGGTAGCCAGACTCCTCTTTCTCCTTCACCACAGACCCTTTGCTGTTGCTGGAGTTTCTTTAAGACATTTGTGAGACCCTTGTGGATGCCAGGCAGGGGTCTCCTGTGTGTTCTGGCTTCATAAGCTTTGTGCAACTGTGACAATACATTCATTCACAGACTTACTTACCCAATCCCTCTCCTTGTGCCATAGGTTATTCTCCTGGTTCACTGGCTGCTGACAACCTGGTGAGTGACTCTGGGTGTTTGGCTGCATTCAGATGTCTTGTGTTGTGTCTCCTGGGGTCTGTGTCCACACTTCCCTAGGGTCAGTGTGTGTGTGTGTGTGTGTGTGTGTGTGTGTGTGTGTGTGTGTGTGTGTTTGTTCCCAAGTTCTGTTGGCCTGGTCAGGTCCCATTCTGCAGTGTTTGAACCAGTCACAATTACCAATCCATTTGTCCAGGGCTATGTCTGCCTTCTGTCTATCCAGCGGGATAAGGGTTGACCCCTATAGCAGTGCTTACCAACCAAACACCTGCATGGGGCTCTAGGAAGATTTCTCAGCCAAAAACAAGTCAGGAAACCACTGAGATCACCTGTGTCTTGCAGGCCTTGAGGTGCTGTGCACATGCCAACAACTGTGAGTGATGGAAGCAGCCAAGCAGGGCCACTTTCCTCCAGGTCCCAAATGGGTGGCTAGGCAGAGCCCACACCTGCTGAGATAGAAGGACTGGAAAATATCAGGCCTCATCACCCACTTGCCAATCCCAGGGTTCCAATCCCAGCCCTGCGGCTGAGTGTCAGGTCCCAAAGAAACCGGGACAAGTCTCACTCTGTACCTGTGGCTCCCTCCAGTACTCCTCACCCTGCCCCTACCCTAAGCCTCTCCAGCCAGGGTCTGGGCTTCATGTTCCTTCCCCAGCTTCTGACTCCTCTATAACTCAGCCAGTTTTGCTATGCACTCTCTTGGTTCTGCTCTGGGCTCCTCTCCTGGACCTCTCTTTGTCTGTTTTCCCTTTCTCCTCTTTCTTCTCTCTTTCTCTTCCTCTCTCCCTCTCCCCCACGCCTCTCCTCTCATGGTCTGGTTCAGTCTGCTGGCCATGTTCAGTCTGGGCCCTTCTGGATACCTCTGACTGTTCTCTCATATCTAATAAAACCTTCTCCTCAGCCGTATCTGTGAGCAGTCAGGTCCTCGTTTTCATCCCCTGAGCAGCTAGCTGTGTCACCTGGTTAGTTACCTATTGGGTCTTTGCCTCCTTCCGAATCTATAAAATGAGGCTCGTGAGAACACCTCACTCCAAGAACAGGTGTGCGCATGAATCGATGAACTAGAGTGTGCAGGGCAGGGCCAGGTCACAGGAAGTGCCCATGTTAACAGTGGTGAGCCAGCCAGGCATTGGTGGCGCACGCCTTTAATCCCAGCACTCGGGAGGCAGAGCCAGGCGGATCTCTGTGAGTTTGAGGCCAGCCTGTTTGTCTGAGGTCTCCAGAGCGAGTTCCAGGATAGGCCTTTGGAGCTTTGGACTACAGAGAGAAACCCTGTCTCGAAAAACCAAAAAAAAAAAAAGTGGTGATCCAGTCAGCGAGCTTGCAAGTCAACTAGTAAGTGAGAAAAAAACTACAGCAGAGAGGGCTGGGTCAGGTCAGCATGGGAGCAGATCTCGGGCAACGTTGAGCTCCAAGATGACAAGAAATGGCTGTGCAATCAGGAAAACAAAGCCGCAGGGGGCAGCCAGGAGGTAAGGGTGGAGGTCATGGCAACCCCATAGACTACAGCATAGAAGGTATTTCAAACAGGTCAGAAAACTGTTGGGAAGGTTGTCATGGAGAGTCACGTGATCTGATCCACACACTGCCTGCAAAGTGACCTGTAACAGAGAAGCCGTGGGCCCCATGCTGGCAGAAGAGGGTAGATGAGGCCAATTCAGGGAGCCAGGTGGTCTGTTCTCAGGGAAGACTAAGACCCCTGGAGCAGCGGGAAGGAACTGTGGGAGGGGCGGGCAGCTCAGGGTGGTGACTGGCCGATTGATAGTGTCTCTCTATGCAGGGGCTGCTTGTTGAACTCAGGCTCCTATGCCTGGAGCAACTTCACTATCCTAGCCCTGGGTGTGTGGGCTGTGGCCCAGCGGGACTCTGTTGATGCCATAGGCATGGTGAGTGGAGAGTGGGGTGGGAGAGGGCAGAGAACTGCCTTCATCTGTCCCTTCCTCATATCCCACCCTTTTCTGTTCTAAAGCCTTGCACCTAAGCCTCCCAGGGTGGAGAGCCACTAGCTGGGCTAACTACACAGCTCCTGTCCACTTAGGGTGGAAGTCACAGAACCCCAACTTTGGCTATCCTCCCAGGCAATATGACCTGTTTCAGGGTTGTCTTTGGGGGGAAATGGTGTGATGGGAGGCCCAGACAAGAGGGAGCACCCTTACTTTGTAGACTCGGAGTTGACACCAGCCTGAGGTAGGAGGTGCCCAGCTTTTCACAGTGAGGCCACGGCTCCTTAGGAGAACTGCAGAAGGGCTTTCCCCTGTTTCCTTGTAGCGTAAACACCAAGGGACTGTTCCTCTCAAATTCTGGAGCCAGGTGTTGGGCCCCATCATGGCCCCAGTGGCAGGAAATTCTGGGGCAACAGGCTGGAGCCAGATTCCTGTTCCTGCTCCTAGGTCATTCAGGAGGGGAATGCCACCATAAAGTGTACCCCAGGCTGGTGTGTGTGAGGGTCTGGGGGTTGTCAGTGCCCATGATCCCACAGTGGTGTTTCTTGCAGTTTCTTGGTGGCCTGGTGGCCACCATCTTCCTAGACATAATCTACATCAGCATCTTCTACCAGAGTCTTGCCTCCAGCGACACTGGCCGCTTCAGTGTCGGCATGGCCATCCTCAGCTTGCTGCTCAAGCCCTTCTCTTGCTGCCTCGTCTACCACATGCACCGTGAGCGAGGAGGGGAGCTCCCACTCCGCCCAGGTAAGTCCCGCACCGTTCTGCCCCTCCCTGGTCCTGTGCCCAAGCTCCTAGTCATTTCTGCAAAAGCCTGGGCCCCAGTCTGGTGTGGGCTTTCCTGCTATCAGAGCTGCCTCAGCCCAGAGCACATGTGAAGCCATGAAGCTGGTCAGCGGGCATCCTCCAGTTTGGGCCTGCAGGTGGCTGCAGGGACAACTCCTTCCTTCTGTTTCCACCTAACCCTGTATCTGGAGCTGTGCTCTCCCGCCATGTGGGATGTACCCCTTATGGTCAGACACAGTCCTAGCCAGTCCTCTCACCTATGGTGTAGCCCACACTGTCCTCTCTGGTGGTGGGCCAAGCCATATCCCTGCCCTCTCTGACCCTGTTCTCCTGGGAGAGCTGGGCGTGGTCATGATACCATGAGAGAACACTGAGTCAGGGCAAGAGTGGCCTGTGGCTGCCCACTCTGGCTTACCTCAGCACTGTCTTAGACCTGCCCAGGTATGGAGGGAACAGACGAGAGGATGAAGTCCCAGAGCCCTGGGGACTTGTTCATGGTCCCAGGACAAGTGTGTGGAGGGGAATGTGAGAGACATGGCCCCTTAACCCCCTGGGTATAGCAGCTGCGCCAAGCTCTATCTATATCTATGAGTCCTTGTGCCTGGCCAAGAGTAGGAGAGGAGCCTGTGGGCCCAGGGTAACCACCACTCATCAGATTCCTGAGCGTGTGCTGCTGGGGGCAGGCAGAGATGGCACGGCAGCCAATAGCCATGGACCACAGGGCCTGCTACTTAGGTTTGAACTCCAGTGTTTGTCTTGCCCCACACAGACAGGAGGATGCGGTGGACACTGCCCGCTAAAGGCTCCGTGTCTAGGCGTTTGCTGCAGCCTGTTGTCCTTGGTATGGAGCACTAACCTGTGCTCAGTGTAGGCCCCACGTTGGTCTCATTTCCCTATCCTCATGTTCCCTGTCCTCTAGATTTCTTCGGACCGTCTCAGGAGCATAGCGCCTACCAGACAATTGACTCATCAGATTCGCCTGCAGCCCCCTATGCCGTTGTGGAGGACAAGGGCCAGGCTGCCACCCGGGGGTACTGAAGATGCCCCCCTCCCCAGTCTTCCTGGTGCCCAGCAGGATGCTTGTCACCTCCTTTCTGGACCTGCAGTGGAGTGTCCTCCATTCCCTGCCACAGAGGTAGCCTGAGTCAAGTACCTTGGAGGTCACAATCCTCTGGCTTCCCAGCTAAGAAGAGCCAAGCCCTAACTCTCCAGGGAGCAACCCCTCCAACACACCTGCTAGCCCCTGGCTAAAACTGTGCTGCTTTCTCCACCTCCTACTCCATAACTGTACCGTGCCCCTGCCCGACAGTGCTGAGTGCTGCAGGGCTACGCCTTAAGGGCCAGTGATCGTTGCCTTTCAGGCTCTAAAATGGTCCAGCCCTTCCTAGACGCTCTAGGAGCTTCTGGTCCTGCTCAGCCCGTCTCACTGTGTCTCTCACTGCCTGATGGCTTGGTGCCTGGGGACCCCAGGCCTGGGGGCAATAGGTCTGCGGAGGCCCCTCTCAGAACCCTGGCATTAAAATTCAGGGTTCTGTGGTTGAGCTGTGTTTGAGCCATGTTTCATCTCCCAGCTGGGACCCACCTTGCCCTCCTGTGATGACTTCACCTCTGAATCAGTTACAGGTGGAAACTCCTGGCCTGAGGATCCTGGCTCCAGTCAAGCAGGGGAGGCAGAGGAAATGCTGGTCAGCATAGCATGTAGACAATGCCCTTTTGAATCACACGACCCGGCACTGGTTTAAATCTTGCTCTGCTGTTCGTTCGGCAGCCACATGAAGCACTTCCAGTGTCTTCTAGACAAGAGGTGGTTATGACCCCAGTGACCTCAGCGGTCTGAGTGTCAGGGCCCTAAGTAACGAATTGCACAGCCCCCAGAGCCAGTTATCATACTGAGCCTTGAGGCAAGGCATGGATGTCCTCCTCTAGCCCCTGTTCTGACTACAGTTGACCACCTCCTGAGGTGGCAGAGCCAGGGCCCCTACTGTTAACTCGACTGCCAGATCTCTGGGGACAGAAACTTGAAGAGCCACAGGCTGAGGCGAGGGTCCTGAAAGAAACATGAACCTGTAGACAGGCAGGGAGGCTGAGTGATAACAGTTGTGAAAAGTGAACAGCTTTTCTGGGAGGGTCACTTGTGATTCATCTGCTGTGTCGAGCACCATCCCTTAATCATCAGGTAACCCAGTCCCGTTGGCTTCCACACTGAGCCTGGTGTGAGCAAGCGGGGAGAAGGGCAGTGTGTGCCACTAGAGGGAGTTAGGTGTGACTCAGCCTCTCAAAATCCTTAGGTTTGTTTGTAGCATGAATAATAAAAACCCAGAGACAGATAATTGAGGTTCAATCTGAAGCAAAGCGGCCAGAAAGTTGAGAGTTCTCACCTCTCCCATTGCTCAGTCCTAAGGGGAGCACCACTGAACCTCAGATTGCATCTGCAGACTGCACTGCTCCTCACCAAATCTCAGACGGCTCCTGAGACTGCACTGAGCTCCTTATATTCTCTCTAGTGCTTGGATTAAAGGCAAGAGCTCTTTCTCTTTTAGACTGATTCACTCTCATGTAGCCCAGGGCCTCAAACTCACAGCGATCCATCTGCCTCTGTCTCCCCAGTCCTGGGGTGTGTGCCACCACTGCCCAGCTTCTATGCTGACCAGTGTGGCTGGCTTTGCATTCTCTTCTTCAGGCAAGCTGTATTGGATCATAAACAATACGTCACCACATTTAATTAGAGTTTATGTGTCACATTATAAAACATGAGCTGGGCCCAGAGAAATGGCTCAGCAGGTAAAAGGGGTCCACCACTGAGCCTGACGATCTGCATTTGTCCTCTGACCTCCATACTCATGCCATGGTGTGAGGTCACCCCCCCCCCAATAGATATGTGTTAGAAAGCAAACAACCCAGAATATTAATAACATGCCCTGGGACGCATGTCAAGTTCACGATTGCAGAGGCCTTGGAGGAGGAGGCATGCACAGCCTGAAACCAACGGGATGAAAAACTCAAGTTGTTTTCTCATGTTTCTGTAAGTGTTCTTAGCAGAAGGAAGGCTTGGAATAGGTCAGGCTGTGGAGACAGAAAGGAGGGAAGAGCTTGACCTAAGCAGCTAGGCCAGGTCACAACCTGAGACCCACCCCCTCCTCCTGGTCCCAGGCCCCCAAATCTGACTGACTCTAGGGAGGCTAGAGGAGGGGCATCTCTGGAAGGGATCTCAAAGCAGACTGAGACTAGACCAGTTCTCACTGGTCAAGGACTGTCCCATGGTGGGTGACAAATGGAGGAGAGGCCCTGAGGCAAACAGAAGGGTTTTTTTTTTGTTTTTTGTTTTTTGTTTTTTGTTTTTTTGTTATTGTTGTTTGACTTTTTCGAGACAGGGTTTCTCTGTGACTTTGGAGGCTGTCCTAGAACTAGCTCTTGTAGACAGGGCTGGTCTTGAACTCATAGAGATTCACCTGCCTCTGCTTCCCGAGTGCTGAGATTAAAGGCACACACCACCACTGCCTGGCTAAAATAACTTATTTATTTTTATTTTATGTGCAGTGGTGTTTTGCCTGCATGTATGTCTGTGTGAGGGTGTCAGATCTTGGAGTTACAGACGGTTGTGAGCTGCCATGTAGGTGCTGGGAATTGAACCTGGGTCCTCTGAAAGAACAGTCAGTGTTCTTAACCACTGAGCCAACTCTCCAGCCCAAGCAGAAGTATTGAGGGTACCAGTGCTGGCTGCTTGCCTCACATAATAGCTCCATGAAAAGGAACTTTCGGTGCCAGAGTAGGTGGTTGAAGAGAAGAGACGTACCCTAGAGGCAGTAGGGGGCAGGTCCAAGTGGAGGGCCGGCCCTCAGGAAGCCTGAAGTAGGAGCACTGGTGGTCAGGAAGCAGGTGTGACCAGAATGCTGAGGGTTAGACAACAGAAGAGAAAGTCAGGAACCACCATGGAGACTGGCTTTCACTACACTGAGAGAGCTGGAGAGAGCAGCGTCAGAATCCCATTGTTAATCTGACTGGTTGATACCTTAGAAGGATAGTTTGCATTTGTGGGCTGTGGGGTGTGGAAGCTGTGTCAACTCCTGGACACTGTGAAGGTGGGCCAGCGGGCTCTGCAGACGCAAAGCCAGGATTCACTAATAGCAAGATTGGGGCTGGAGCCTGCAGTTGCCACTAGCCAAAGGGAGGAGAGGGGTACACAGGCAGGCCAGGCGAGGCCCAGAAGGGCTGCGCTTGTGGGGTGGAGCTCTTCAACCAGCTGTTCTCACCACCACCTGCCTTTGGTTCCATAAGTCTCTGTGGCGATTTGGACACAGGACAGCTCCCAGGTTTTAGTCTATATTCTGCCGTTCTAGGGGATCTCCTACCTCTGGTCTGCAGAACTGAAGTCCCCTGTCCAAATTGCAAATTTATAGCTTGTTTGTACTGAGTTGAGTCCTACTGAGGACAAAGTCAGAGAAACTGCCCAAAAACTGCCAGTCTAGCAAGTCCAGTTCTCAACAGCCAGCCTGCAACCCACCCTGCAGCCAGAGAACTGTTCTTTAAATCTCACAGGTGGAGCAGTGAGATGGCTCGTGGGGAAGGGACTTGCCATCAAAATGAGTTTGATCTCTGGGACCCAACTCCTGCGAGCTGTCCTCTGACCACCATATTTGTACTGTGTCACATGACCCTCTCCACAAATAAATGTAATTAAATCCTAACGGTATCCTGAGACTTCTATATAAGAGACAACTGTTTATATTTGCTTTTGCTTTTTTTTTTTTAAATAGGGTTTCTCTGTGTAACAGTGGCTATCTTTGAACTTGCCCTGTAGATCAGGCTAGCCTCAAATTCAAGAAATCCACCTGTCTCTGCCTTCTGAGTGCTGGGATTAAAGGGGTGCACAACCACCACCCGGCTAGACAACTGTTTCTCAATCTCATTGTGCCTCAGTTTCCTGATCTGAAAAGTGGGACTAAGATGGGCCGTTGAGATGGCTCAGTGGGTAAGGGAACATACCGTCAAGTCTGTGACCCGGGTTTGATTCCTAGGATCCATACGGTATAAGAAGAGAAGGTGCTGTCTTCTCATCTCCACGTGAATGCCATGGCACTCGGGCACATGCATGTGCACACACACAATAAAAAATATAAATTAAGATGAAGTGACGATAAGAATCCTGTGTGACTCAGGGGCTAGTGATGGTGGAGAAGGGTGTAACCTCGATGTTTAATAAACGTTACAGCCTGTTGTAAGCATCGCAGTGATACCTCACAAGGGGAAGGGTGACCAGTCTGTCCATCCAAACAGCTATTCATTTACCAGCTGTGTAAACCTCGTGGGGGTACCTTGACACGATTTCAGAAGGCTGGTAGTTCCTTCCGAGGCTCCACTCCGTGAAGCACATGTGTGAGCCAGAGATGGCTGTAGGGGGAATGTTAGCCACGCCCTCATGGGGGCTGGCACAGATGACGCAGACCACGCACACTAGGGCGTGGTCAATGACGTACAAGACCTTAAATACCACGGTCGCGTGCAGGAGGCTCTCTCTGTTCCATGGTTCGCCTGGTTGTACAGGGCTGACTTCGTCGCAAGAGTACTTATATAATAAAACCTTTGCTCCTCAAACTTGCTCTGACTCCTTTGCGGTACGCACTGATTGCGCTCCACTATAGGCGGCCTGCAGAGGCCGGGGCTGGAGAGAGCTAAGCATTTCCCTGCCCCAGTGGCTTGAAAATGAACATTTAAAATTCTGTACATAATAGAAGTACCGCCAGGCGTTGGTGGCGCACGCCTTTAATCCCAGCACTCGGGAGGCAGAGGCAGGCGGATCTCTGTGAGTTCGAGGCCAGCCTGGTCTCCAGAGCGAGTGCCAGGACAGGCTCCAAAGCTACAACGAGAAACCCAGTCTCGAAAAACAAAAAAACAAAAACAAACAAACAAAAAAAAATAGAAGTACCTACGACCCAGCATATGAAAGAGCCGGTCTGTTGGTTCTCTACTCCCCCTGCCCTTACGACCAGGGAACCTAGAGTTCCCCAGCTCCCAAAAGGGAAACTGACCTGGGGGCGCACAGATTGGAAAGAAGAGCCTTGGACAGGGTAGAGCTGACCTAGAGCTGGAATGTGCCTTATGGAGGCTGGGGTGACTGATGATATAAGAGGACAGCCACTTCTACAAGTGACAAACACGGGTTTAAAGCAGAAACCCAATGCAGCAGACAGGACTGCCGGCCGGGAAGGCAGGTTTGAAGGAGTCTCTCAGAAAAGCAGCCTAGAGACGATATAGAAAGAGGTTCAGTGACATTTACAGATGGCCAAAAGGCCTCATCCACCAGGGTTAGGACGATATTTGTCAAGGTTTTATTTTTTATTTATTTTAACTTATTTGTTTTTGAGACAGGGATCACTATGTAGGGCTGGCTGCCCTGGAAATCACACAGGTCTGCCTGCCTTGTGCTACCACACACCTGGCTTGACATAGTCTTAGAAGAGGTAGGAGGGAGGCTGGAGATCTAACTTGGCAGAAAAGATCCTACCTAGCATGCACAGGTCATGGGTTCAATCCCCAGCACTACTTTTTAAAAATGGGGTGGGGGTGTCACAGAAAGTTTGGGAAATTGTCTAAGGCCACCCAACAACACGAGCCGTGTAACTTGCTTCCAGGCTCTTTCCTCTGTCACAGGTAAAGCACAGATTGCAGAGTGCACTGTGGAGCAGCCCAGACAAAGGTTTGTAATGTGGAAAATGCGCGAGGTTTGAGGGGAAGCATGATCGGACCAATATCAAAGCATGCCTACGAGACGATGTGGGTTGGTTTCCAGCCCGGAGATCACAAACAATGACGGAAAAAAGTCTGCCTTTGTGGAACTCAGATGCAGGTCCTGGGCCAGAACCCCAGCTCAGAGCGCGTGCAGCTCATTCGGACCTGCAGATGCGTGCAGGCGGGCATCTGCAACTTTGGCTGGGGAACGCGCAAGGCACCCTGGGGGCGGGGCGGGGCGGAGCTAGGCGAGCACGCTCTTGTCTTTGAAATTCTTCCACCTCACACTTAACGTGGTCGTTAGCGGTCCCCAGCGGAGAGCCTGCCCATCCCGGTTCAAACCTGGTTGGTCAAAAGAAAGGTCCCAAGGAAGACTGAGGGCAGGAAACTGGTCACAGGCTCCTACGGTGAGAAAGAGAGGCTCTGAGTGTCCTTATGTGGGCGTGGGGATGGCGGGGCAGGACCTAAAAAACGGGAGTGGCCCATGCTTACAAACCAGCCTTCTCAGCAGAGCTGCCCAGCTGTGCCACTGTGCAACCGGCTGGTGGCCTTTCTAAGCCCCAGTGGCTTCGTTTCTAGAACCGGGAAACAATCTCAGGATGGACTGCGGTGCAGATTAAACAGTAGAATGCCTGCTAATGGCTGACCTGGTGCTTAGAGTGGTACAGTCACTTAACACGTTCATAAGCCCACCGTGTGCCAGACTATTCTGTATGCGTAGGTGAGGCCGACGTCTCCTCAATACACACAATGATGATGCATGCCAGGAGGCACACATCCAGGGCACAGAGAGTGAGGGGTAGGCAGCTTGCTGCCATGGGTGACAGAAGGGCTTGGGTGATGTTTGAACCAGAACTTAAGTACAGGAAGGAGGGAGGAAGGAAGAAAAAAAGAAAAGTAATGAACTCTGAGTGCACTTGCCTGCCTAGCATGCGGAAAGCCCAGGTGTGAGCTCCAGCCCCGCACAAACTAGGTGTGGTGGCACAGCCTGTAATCTCAGCACTTGGGAAAGGGAGTTTAGTATCATCCTTAGCTAAACATAGCAGGCGTGGGGCCAGCCTGATCTACACGGGAAACTCTCGAAGCAGAAGAGAGATAGGAGAGATGGCTCAGTGGTTAAGAGTACTTATTGCTCTTCCAGAGGCCCAGGTTTGGTTCCCAGCACCCACGTGATGGCTCATAATCATCTGTGACTCCAGTTCCTGGAGATCTGACACCCTTAGATTGGCATGGTGGGTGCACACCTTTAATCCCAGCACTTGGGAAACAGCGGCAGGTGAACTTTTGTGAGTTTGAGGCCATCCTGGTCTACATAGTAAGTTCCAGGCCAGTCAGGGTTTTAAGACCCTGCCTCAAAAAAAAAAAAAAAAAATCAGGCTGGAGAGATGGCTCAGAGGTTAAGAGCACTGGCTGCTCTTCCAGAGGTCCTGAGTTTAATTCCCAGCAACCACATGGCGGGTCACAACCATCTGTTATGAGATCTGGTGCCCTCTTCTGGCCTGCAGGCACGCTTGCAGGCAGAAACCTGTATACATAAATAAATAAACTTTTTAAAAACTCAAAAAAGAAGAAAATATAACAATAGAGAGGGGAGAAGCTATGTGGGACAGTGAGCAGGGACCCCTATGCAGAGAGGAACCATCTCCAGAATAGCCGAGGATGTGGCCCTGTGGCCAGGGTATCTCCTTTCTCCATGACTGCCCCGGCCCTGATTTTATGCTGAGGATCTAACCCAGGGTCTCATATATGCCAGGCCAGTGTTCCACCCTGAGCCACACCCCCACCCCAACCCATCTAATTGAATGCACAGCTGTCCACAGCCCATGGAGCCAAGACCTGCCACCAGATGCAAAGAGAATGTGCCTCCAAAGACTATGACTGTCCTGGGGCCAGGTAAGAAGCCTACTGAGCATGGCAAGGTGGTGGCAGGAGGGTCCTCCCCAGGTACCTGCCCATCATCTTCCTGGCTCTGGAGATTTTATTCTCAATGATACTGTACTTGGTTGGTACAGTATCCTTCAAAGGGTGTGGCCTCGGAAGAGAGGGGTCCCAAAGGGGTTTGAAAAACCAAACCAAAAACAAACAAACAAACAAACAAACAAAGAAAAAGAAGCCTACAGAGTTGGTCCAGCCAAGGGTACAAATAGTCCCCAAACAAATTCAAATTCTAACCCCACCCCCTTTTTGGTTTTTTCAAGACAGGGTTTCTCTGTGTAACCCTTGCTGTCCTGGAACTCACTCTGTAGACCAGACTGGCCTTGAACTCACAGAGATCCCGCCTGCCTCTGCCTCCCCAGTGCTGAGATTAAAGGCGTGCGCCACCACTACCGTGTCAGATTCTGATTTTTATGCCTGGATCAGTCCAGGTCACTGGAGGGCAGCCAGGGGGTGCAGCTGAGGGGTGGGAATGTTCTGAGTGACCGACCACAAGGTAAATTGTAAGCTGGCCACCTTTCACTCTTTCCTTTTCTCCCTTTACCCCTTCTCAGCTGGCTGCCCCCTATCCAAAGCCCTCCATGCACCCTGGTCCCAGCTACAGACAGCCTTCCTTCAGGCTCCCCTCTGCCGCCTCCTCTTCCCTGCTCTATGTAGCCAGGCCTCATGTCAGACCACTTCACCTGGCTCGGAGGCCCCTGGGCCCCCGGCCTGAACAATGGCTTCCTCAGGGCTGTGGAGCTAAAGCTCTGACCCTCCCACCAGGAGCCCTGCCACTCCCCAGCTCTGAGGCCTGGATACCCCCTTGGTCTTACCTGAGAAGGCATCACGTGGTTCCCAGGGTGTGGCTGTCTCTCTTCCTTATAGAGCTGAAGAGGCCCTGGAGGAACCTGGACATCAGCTTGGGGAGTAGAGGAGGCCAGACGATGCCCATGCGCCAGGCCGCCATTCGCTCCCAAGGCTCAGTGCTATGCCACAGACCTTACCAAGTCCAAAGCAATCTGAGCAGCTTTTGTCCCCGCTTGGCCCCTGCCCTGAAGGACACAACTGGCCAACTAGGTGACCCAGGTCTCTGGCAGCAGAGTAACCTGAAGCTTCCCGCAGGGAGGTCCCAATCGACGAGGGCCCAAGAGCCCTTTGCACAGCAGAGTAACCTGTGCTTCCGAGGGAACGCCAGCCCCCATCTGCGGAACAGCTGCCTGCCACCAGCTGGCCCACCCTCCCACCAGAGGCAGACACTCCGGGCCACGGACACCCTCTGCTTAGACCTGAGACTCTCTGGGGGCTTGGCTCCTCTTGATGGGTGTATATGGCCTGGCCCCAGGCCCTGGTGTGCTTCAGGGAGCTGGGCACCCAGGCTTGTGGGGGAGCCCCTCACATTGGAGGACCTGTCTGTCTGTGCCCACAGCCAGTCTTGGGTCTCATCCCGTTCCTCGTGCATCACTGACCACTGGCTGCTGGACTCTATCCAACACCTAGAGCCTGTGGCAACCCGTTCAAGGAGCCCGACATGCCAGGAACACCCAGGCCCTACACATAGGAGGGCCCACACCCGCAGTAGCCAGTCAACCCCTACTCAACCTTGGCCCAACCACCCTAGGGAAAGTATAAATCTCCTGGAGACTCTCAGGGTCCAAGCTAGACTCTCGGAGTCCCCTGTATGCAAGCCCCAGTTACACGAGGCCACTCTGGGAACATTGGCTGGGCATTTCTCTGACTCAGACCAAGAAATCCTTTCTACCCAGCACCTTGGGGCAAGAGAGAGGGGTTCCCCAGGTCTTCCATATAACAAGAGGAACAGAGGACACATCAGTGCCACACGAGAGGCAGGTAGCAGAGAAGCCAGACTCAAATCTCCAACTGTCTTCAGTGCCCTGCCTAGGCAGGCAGGGAGTGAGAAAGCCCCACAGGAAGAAGCAGGCTGGGATGGGGAGAGGATGGCCTCCCGCCCATCAAATACAGCCCCAGCTCAGAGTACTCAGCAGGTAGAAGTCCCAGGATGTGTGTGTGGGGAAGCCGTCCCAGAAGACGGCTTTAGCCTGAGAACTGTCATGGCTTTTGTTTCTGCAGAACAAGGCTCAAAGTGTTGGGACCTCAGATCCCCAGGCAGTGTGGTAAGGGTGGTCTTGGGGTGTGTGTGTGTGTGTGTGTGTGTGTGTGTGTGTGTGTGTGTGTTGGGGGGGGGGCAGCACTCCAGGGACAACTCCTATGCCAGAGACTTGATGGAGACAGGCATCTGATGGCAGAGCCACAGTAGGATTTTAAGGGGACAGAACTGTCCCTTATGAGAAACCAGAGACCTCCAGGACCCAAGGACAAGTTCTACACCCCTGGGTTTGACTCACCGGGGATTGTAGACATCAGTGCAGTGGGGCAATTCTCCTCTCTCTGGGAGCCTCTTACTTGGAGGGGACTATTAAGTCCAGGCATTAGCAAAGAGGGTTCTTTGGGTGTGCAGTTAGTTCTGCTGAGGAAGGGGGTGTCACCTTCACTGTTACTGGAAAAGTCATATGAATGGAGTCCTAGGCAGCTGAGAGTTGTGTCTACCCCTTCATCAGCCAGAAGCTGCTGTCCAGATGTTTCAGAGCCTGGAAGCATTTGTCACAGAGGCACCAGGCAGCAGCTAAGGCCATAGCTCTGAGACACAGGCAGCTGATGCAAAAGAGCCTAAGAGTACTGCGTTGGGTCCAACGGCTCCGGCTCCGGCTCCAGGAGGCCCAGCTGGAGGCAGCATGGGAGCAAAGTGCAGAAGCGCTGCTGGCCTGGGGCTTCCAAGAGGTCTGTGTTCTCTAGCTTGGGGCTTGGAAGGAATGATGTGGCTCTGCTTTGTCTGAGAGACAGCTACACCTACTGAGAGAGGGCATCCGATAGGCCCGGGTTGCAGCTCATGACTGATCTCTCCAGCTCCTTGTCTACTGTTTTGTTTTGTTTTGTTTTGTTTCGTTTTTGTTTGTTTTGTTTTTCTTCATTAGTGATTTGCTAGCTTGGCCTGGGAGGATGTGTGGGTACTCTTCTTCCTTGGGTCCTGAGTGAGGGCGGAAGGTTTGCCTCCAAAGAAAAGTTTTGTCTCTTGGGATTCTTTCTACATTCCATCATTCCCGAGGAAATGGGCAGTGTTAGGTTAGGGCCAGAGCTTTGACAGAAGCCTCATTCCAGGCCTTAGTCAGCCTCCTTTTGCCCATTGTCTTTTGACCCAGGGGAGACGTGTTGCTTTACAGCAGAAACAGGAGCTACCCGGCACCCAGGCTGCATCTCCTCCGTTCCTTGCTTCTAGAGGAAGCCCTTCCTTGGGAAGAAAAGCAGCCATAGACCTTGCCTGGAAATGCAGGTGAGCGTGGACACCAAGACTGAGCGATGTGGCCTAGGCAGCTGGTGGCCTACCCCCACCCCCACCCTGCCCCTGTCCACCAGCTTCTTCCACAGAGAACCATGGTGAGGACAAAAGCATTCCAGTAGTGACACCAGTTATAATTATAAAAGAGGAACAGTCGGGCCTACCTAACCATGTAGTAAGCTGTTGAGTAACCAGACAGTATAATGTTTATTTTTACTTATTTGTATTTTATACTTATTTTCATTTACATATGTGTGCTTGAATGGTTGCATGTGCACACATGCATGCAAGGTTCCCATAGAGTCCAGAAGAAGGCAGTGGGCCCCCTGGATCTGGAGTTACGGGTGGTTCGTGAGCTGATAGGTGTAGATGCTGGTAACTGAACCCTGGTCCTCTGCAAAGGCAACCAGTGCTCTTAACCACTGAGCCATCCCTCCAGCCCCCATAATACTGTTTTAATCTGTGGGCCTTTTCTTTTTTTTTATTCCATAACCCCATGTTGATCCCTCATCCCCCACAGGAGCTTTTAACACTGGAAGTGACCTAGTGACCTAGACATGGTGAGCCATGAAGGATGAATAGTTTCTAGTAGAGGGAGACAAGGACCAGGGCACCTCACAAAGGGAACAGGGTTTGCAAAGACGAGCCAGTGGAGTAGTAAAAGTTCATAGGCCCAGCTACTCCAGAGGCTGAGGCAGGAGGATTGCTGGAGTCCAGGAAATCAAGGTCACGTTAGCAATATAGAAAGACCAAATACAGCCGGGCGGTAGTGGCGCATGCCTTTAATCCCAGCACTCGGGAGGCAAAGGCAGGCGGATCTCTGAGTTTGAGACCAGCCTGGTCTACAAGAGCTAGTTCCAGGACAGCCTCCAAAGCCACAGAGAAACCCTGTCTTGAAAAAAAAACAAAAAAACAAAAACAAAAAAAAAAGACCAAATACATAAAGGAGAAAACTAGCATCAGGCGCACACCTTTAGTTCCAGTACTGGGGAGGCAGAGACAGGTGGATTTCTGTTATTTGGAGGCCAGCCTCGTCTACAAAGCAAGTTCCAGGACAACCAGGGCTACTCAGAGAAACCCTGTCTCCATGTAGAAACAAACAAACAAACCCCAAACTCAGCAATAATGTGCAGCTAAGGGGGCCTCTGAAATGTTTTTAGGCTTTAGACGGGTGGAAAAGGTGTTCGGGGTCAAGTCCCACCTAGCTTGGGGGCTACGGGGAGGAGTTGAGATTTTATTCCAGGAGCAAAGAGGACGCCTCAGGAGGCTGAGCAGGCACTTAAGCTGATTGGACTCAAGATGAGAGAGATGTCACTCTGGTCAGAGTCGGAACCAACAGAACGAGTGAGGCAAGGGTGGATGTGGGGGCCAGGTGGGAGGGTGCTGAGGCCCTGCAGACACCTGGGGATGACATCTGTGGCCTGAGCAGATGCCATGCTCAGTTTCTCGAAGCCTTCTGTTTTGTAGGTGAGAAACAGAGGCTCAGAGAGGGGAAGGCCGGTGTCCACTGAAGTGTGTGTGGCAGGAGGCAGGTGGCTGCTGCCAAGGGTAGTTTCCCTTCTCTCGCTAGGTGCTTCAGGGCCTGGCAACGGTTTGTGCAAAGAGGGGCCCAGTGCAGGAGACACCTGGCCCACCAACGGGTGAGGATCTTGAGGGTATGCTTGGGACAGTGGATGGAGATGAAGCAGCTCCAGGCCTCAGATGTGACAAAGGTGACTCAGTTGTCCCTCT